TTCCAGCCCTAATGTCTATGAAATCTATGAAATAACCCAACTTACTTTATAAGGATGGAATTAAATGCAGAGCTCCTGTTTGCAGTGTGTGGCAGAGCAACTAATGGAAGTGCTCCCCTGTGCCAAAGGTGAATGGGCCCTTGAAATATTAGAAATAAAGGTACACTGAAGGTGCTTTATCTGTAGTTCAAGGTGGCAAGTACTGATTCAGTCGAACGGTAGTTTGGGCATAAGCAAGCTGAAAACAGACCATAGCTTTTATTTAAGGGTGGAAATAGCACCATTGTAAAAAAAGTACTTTAAGGTAATTCCTCTTTTAAGGTAACTTCCTTGTATATTTACAGGTATAATGTTGACTTTTCTTGCTTCAAAATTTGTAGAAGTGGTCTAACATGTAAAATATTGAAATAGCAATTTCTTAATAATCATGAAATGACTCTCAAAGTTCGTATCAGGTTTCAGCAACTGCAGCGAGCTCCTGTTTTTCTAGGATTATTAAATTAGTTTGAATGATCCTAAACCAAAAAACTGTAGAAAGAACCGTAATAGGAAATGTACCATTGTATTCATGCAGCTAACATAGCTGTTTTTAATTTATGTATCTATATCTATGATTTTCCAAGCCGTATTAATATTTGTAGTGATATAATTTTCTTTCATCATTTTCTTTCATAGCCATTTTTAAACCATGTGGAAGTGGGGCTCTCAAGAGAACTTGTCCTCCAAACCAGTAGTAAGTATTTTGTTTTTATTAAATTGATTTTTATTTTTTTTAATTCTGTGGGTTTCGGAAGCATTTTAATATTCAGTAACCCTAAGTAACTGCTTTCCACAAGAAACCTTTAAAAACTTTTTAAACTGGTTTTGCCAGGAGATAGTTTGAAGCCCCTGAAGTTTGCAGTGGTTTGTTTTTCCAAGCAGTACTTCATTGTCAGTATGTAAGCATGGCTATACTTATTCACCTTTAACCTGTTTGTCTGGACTTAAGAAAATGATCAATAAAAATCATGAAAACATTAAATTGATCACTATTAGCAGGCTATTCCTTGGTTCTCTGCTGTAACTGTATTTTCTCACAGACAACACCACCCTCCATCCCCAAATGTACCTTGTTTCTGAAAGGCAGAATGAAGAAAAAACATCTTTCCTTGTATAAATAAGTAAGTAGCAATAAATCAACTGAGTAGCAGCTTCTGCAGCAGGAGTTTCCACTGGGACAAAAGAGAAAGTGTCCACAAACAGCATTTAGTGAGTCCCATATGCAGTCTTGCCGTTACTTTTGCTCTCCTTATCCCCACCCCCCAACTTCCAAACTCAGAGGTAGAAACTGTTATTACTGTATTTCTTCACTTAATTCACATCCTGTTTTAGCAGGTGAACTGTGGGGAAAAGAGTGTTTGATGTATGTGAGGAAATAAGGTAGTTACATTAATATGATCATGGGCAAATCCAGGGAGGGTGTGGTGGTGTGGCTGCAACTGCCCTTTGCCCTAGGTTTAATATCTCAATTGAAAGATATCCCACCCATAAAATGAAGTGGGATTTAGTGACATTATTTTTTCTTCTAAGTCTAGGGGAGAAAAACGGTTAGCTTTAATTTTTGAAAAAAGAAAGTTTCTAACAGTAACACAAATGGGATTATATGGTAACTATTACTGTACTTCTGTAACCAGCACTTTTTGTCTGTGAGGCACAAAGCATGTTTCTTGCCCTCCACACAGCCCCTTTTTCAGTTTTTTAGCCGGCTTTAATGGACTTGGATAATGTAACTCAAGAATCGTTCTGCACTCTTGTGCAGTCCCTCCTCCACTCCCGTTTATTTTGCTGGATGCATGCAAACCACACATTTGTTCAGATTTTTTCCTCCTAAGTTTCTGTGGCAAGAAATCACATGTTTGTTGCAGGGGTTTGTGGCTTTGTTAATTGGAAATTGTTTATGAAAGTGCATACAATAATCTAGGTGCTTTTCAGGGAGGCAGAAGGAATAGTCATTGTTTAAAACAGTTCAGAGTCTAGAATCAGTTAGGCATACAAGGATTAGGGGAAGAAAACAAACAGGAATTTCTAAAGACAGGCAATCATATAGTGTTATGGAGGCAGGGAGAAACAAGTAGGTGTGTTTTTGTCATTTTATTTGTGATTGCATCATGTCTGAACTGGATTTTAGTACAGTTTTTAATCTTGTTTACTCTGAAAAGATCAGATGCCGTTTCAAGGGTTATGGAGTCCCTTTAATACTCTTCCAGTTCAGTTGTGTTTTATTAAGTGTACTTGACAAGCTACACCAAAAGTGTCTGAAAAGCTTGTTCAAGTTTTAATATTACATTCTAGTTAAATTTAATACGATGTGCTGAAAAACTAACAACTGTATTTTTACAGAGCTAGTAGTAAGTGCAGTTTCGTTTGTTCATAACTGCATATTGTCTGCAGGCTTCTGGCTCACGAAATGCAGCAAATATGCCAGTGGCTGATTTAACTGAACAACTGGCACGTACTGAACAGCTGGTAACGCAACTCAAGGAACTTATCAGAGAAAAGGATACTGAGCTTCTCAAGAAGGATCATCAGTTAAAGGTACTGAATATGTACATCAAGGTGCTTATTGAAGTACAAAAGAAAATGAACTTTAGTTGTGTTTAATCTTGTCTAGATGTAGGCCTCAGATTTAGGTGAGTCAGTCTTCAGGACTAAGGAAGCATTGATCACAGCCAGGAGATGTGTGAGGATACATTACAGCTTCCTATAAGCTTAGGTTCTGTTTCCAGGATTAAAACCAGCTCTGGTTGTTACAGAAGCAACAAATGTTCTCAAGAATGAACAGATGCGCTTAATAAATATAGGAAGGAACTTTCCATTGCACATTCACTGTTGCACAGAATTAGATAGAGAGCTAGGCTCCTTTTAGGTTAAATATAGAATCTAATATCCACAATTAGCTGTTTGGTTAGACTATAGACTTGACTTAAAATGACTTTTTTAACATTTCCCCTCAAATCTCCTTTAATTATAATTTCTGTATTTTTATACCCTTGATTTGTGGTCAGAGTTAATAGAATGAATTTATATTAAATATCTTATAGTCTATTAAAGGGTAATCATTTTTTTTTTTTTTTTAAATTTTCAAGCTGATGCTTGAAGTATGTTTTTGAGGGCTGAGTTTTCAGACTTACATTTTACTGGGATATTGTTAGATTTGTTTAGGTTAAAGTTTTGAAGTAGAAAGTAGTGTAAAACCTAACATGCAAAAAGCTTTTGTATTTAACCCCCCCCCCCCCCC